TTGCAGAAATCTATCATTCATTCTCCAGCATCATTTCTATCACCAAGTCCAAATTTTCCAACTTCTGGTCCTTCCTCTTTGCTCCCAACCTTTGCATTCCAATCACCAGTAATGAGTGAAGGAAAATGTATAGTAACATCTTATTGTGGCTTTACATAGCATTAGCCTAATGACTAATGATGTTGATCTTGTCATGTGCTTGTTTCCCATCTATACATGTATATCTTCTTTCGTAAAGTGTCTGTTGAAATCTTTTGCCATTTTTTTGTGTGTGAATTGAGTGATAGGGTACATGGGAGAAAATCAGCTTTACACTCATCCTATTGTATTTCATTTAATTGCAATAACTACAATCCCTTCCATGCATCATCATTCAATAGCATTTGCTTCTATTCCCTTTGTGTGTGTGTGTTTTTTTGTTTTTGTTTTTTTTCGATATACACTGAAGCACTCAGGAATATAAAACATTGCACAATTATTACAATCTGTGTTGTCTATACGTGGCCTGTATTGTTGTTAATTGCCGTCGAGTCAAGTCCAACCCATAGCGACCCTGTATAGGGTTTCCGAGGAGAAGCTGGTGAACTTGAACTACTGACCTTGCAGTTCAAACGGCTTTTGGAATCTGGCCCATTAACCCAGAGCACCATGTAACCCAGAGTATTAGAGTCCATGCCCTGTATTAGAGCTCTCAGATTTGTCCCTACTTTCACATTGATAACTTTTATAGTTTTGGGATTGACATTTAGGTCTTTAATCCATCCTGGGTTGGTTTTTGTATATGAAGTGAGGTAAAAGTCTTCTCTCAATCTTTTGCATATTGCTTTCCAGTCTTCCAGCACCTTCTGTTGAAGAGATTTTCCCCTCCTTGTGCAGTATATTTAGGCTCTTTATCGAAAATCAGTTTACTGTATGTGGATGGATTAATTTCTGGATTCTCCATTCTGTTCTATTGAGTTTTGAGTTATGCATCTTTCATTGTACCGGTACCAAGTTTTTTGACCAATATAGCTGTGTATCAATTTATTTTAAAAAATGTATTATGAATTATGTGTTAGTTTATATGGGTGGACATTATCTTTACATTCATCCTATCGTATTTTGTTTCATTGCAATGATCACAATCCCCTGTATGCATCATTAAACAACCAAAGGGTAAACCCCACACGCCTCTTCTCCACCCCCCCCACCCCCCCATACCCCGCTTCCATGTCATCATCTCTGCCTCCATCCCTGGTGCCTGGTGTCACTGCCTCCCCTGACAGGGTCTGGCACTTCCCTTTTCTCCCTTGATGGGTCTAGGGATCTCTGCTCCTGGACTACAAAATCAGCCACTCCCCCCTTTTGTCGCTGAACATTTACATTTACCTTTCCAACAATCACTGTCAGACCTGATAGCAGTCATTCCCTATTGAACCACAGGAGTCCTTTCCCCCTCACTTTTTATCAACCAGATCCAGACAGGTTGGAAACAATTCAGTGGAGATTCTACCTTTCCCTGTATCCTCTGGAGCTAGGTTCCCTGTTGAAAGGTTATAAGCCAGTCATTTCTTGTCTTTGTAGTCCCCCCATTTTGGGTAGCCAATGTCTAAGTTCCCCATCCCTGTCGACCCAGTGTACCACGGGGGTGAGAATGATCTTCACTGTAGAGATTTGTCCTCTCCTTTGTCATACTGCATCCACAAGTATAAGTCAAATTCATCCACTTGTAGTGAGTTACTCCTTGTTTTTCCCTCTCTTC